CACCTCCCCACCACGTCTCCACAACCCGTCCGAAGCACCTCCCCACCGAGCGGACCGAAGCACCTTGCCCACCACCTCCCAACCGAAGCACCTCCCAACCGAAGCACCTCCCCGCCACCTCTCCACCGAGCCGGCGGAAGCACATCCCCACCACGTCCCCACCGAGCCGGCCGAAGCACCTACCCACCGAGCCTACCGAAGCACTCCCCAACCACCTCCCCACCGCCCTCGCCGAAGCACCTCCCCACCACCTCCCCACCGAGCCGGCCGAAGCACCTCCCTACCGAGCCTACATGAGCACCTCGCCACCACCTCCCCACCGACCTGGCCGAAGCACCTCCCCACCACTTCCCCACCGAGCCGCCCGAAGCACCTCCCCACCACCTCCCAACCGAGCAGGCCGAAGCACGTCGCCACCACCTCCCCACCGAGCCGGCCGAAGCACCTCCCTACCACCTCCCCACGAAGCCGGCCGAAGCACCTCCCCAGCGAGCCGACCGAAGCTCCTCCCCACCACCTGCCCACCACCTCCCCACCGAGCCTACCGAAGCACCTCCCCACCACCTGCCCACCGAGCCGGCGGAAGCACCTCCCCACCACCTCCCCACCGAGCCTACTGAAGCACCTCTTTACCACCTCCCCACTGACATGGCCGAAGCACCTCCCCACCACCTCCACCGCTCCCCTTCACAGGTTGCTAAGGAAAAAAGCAATCTAGACGTGGGACAAAGACTGTACGTCCACGCTTAAGAAATTAAAGCGCGCGTTGATAGAGTACCCTGTCCTCAAGGTGGAGGATCCGTCCTTGCCATTTGTCGTCACCACGGACGCGAGTCAGTATGGTATAGGCGCCGTGTTGCAGCAGGACGACGGCAATGGCTACAGACCCGTAGAGTTCATGTCAGTTAGGATGCCTCCAGAGAAGGTAGCTACCTCAACTTACGAGAGAGAACTCTACGCTCTCAAGCAGGCCTTAGAGCACTGGAAGCATTACCTGCTTGGGAGGCACTTCAAAGTATATTCAGACCACGAGACTCTTAGGTGGCTGAAGACGCAGGCCAAGATTACACCTAAGTTGACTAGGTGGGCCGCTGAGATAGTTCAGTATGACTTTGAGCTCAAACCGGTCGAAAGCAAGTACAATGTAGTTGCGAATGCTCTAAGTAGGAGATCAGACTACTTTGGAGCCATAGTCCACTATCTGGATATAGGGACAAACCTGCAAGAGAAAGTAAAGCAAGAGAAAGTAAGTCAGGCGTATCCACAAGACCCTATCTATAGCGACCTCCTCAAGCGAAATAAGGAGGCTCCAGAGACTGAACCACATTATCCGACTACAGAGGGACTATTATTCGAGAAGACCAAGGTAGTGGACCGTCTATGCGTTCCCAACAGTGAGGAGATCTGTAGCCTGATCCTAGGGGAATGCCATGATACAGAGGGACATTTCGGCTGGCAAAAGACTTTAGCCAATTTGATGCAGGTGTATACTGGCCAGGGATGAAAGTTGACTGCATAGAGTATGTTCGCAGTTGCAAAGTCTGCCAAAGAAACAAGACAACTATGCGTGCCCCTCTAGGTCTTCTTCGACCCTTGCCTATCCCTGACCAGCCTGGAGATTCAGTCTCCATCGACTTCATGGATGCTGGTGTTAAAAGCAGGCATGGAAAGAGCCAAGTCATGGTGATAGTTGATAGATTTAGCAAATATGCAGTTTTTGTTCCTTTGCCTGCAGAGGCACGCACTGAGTTAGTAATTCAAAAGTTTTTTGACCATTGGGTTAGTGATCAAGGGGTTCCACTGTCTATAGCTAGCGATAGAGACACCCGGATCACTAGTCAGAACTGGCAGGAACTTGTGAAAGTCTATGGGTCAAAATTGTTAATGTCGTCTGGCCGACACCCAGAGACTAACAGTCAGACCGAAACAAATGAATAAGATCCTGCAACAAGTTCTGTGTATGTACATTACACGCGATCAAGTCAATTGGGATGAGATGTTGCCCAAGGTAGCCAGTGCCTATAATAACAGCGTGCACTTAGCCACGTGTCGCACTCCCAATGAGCTGCACAAATCCTTTAGACCGCGCAGACCGTTTGAGGGACTTAACCGGGACCAGATTCACAGGCTACCACCCGGTACTAGGGAGTTTGCAATACAGCACGAAAAGGAGATAGCTACCGTCGTTGTGAACCTCAGGAAGGCCCAGCACCGGAGGATAGAGCAAGCTAACAAGCACCGTCGCCCATCGCAGTTTCAAGTAGGCGACCTAGTCAGGGTCAAGTCCAAAAAGTTTGATCCTGAGGAAAACATTTCGCAGAAGTTACTGCCAGCATACAGAGGACCGTGGCCAGTTCTAGAAGTTAAGGGCGGAGAGGATACGCCGTCCTATACGATAGAGATCCCAGCACACCTCCACACCTATCCGGTGTTCCATGCCTCAAAGTTATTGCCGTGCATCACAAGTCAACAGTTTCCGTCAAGAAGATCCATGATCCCTCCGGACATGGATGGAAGATATGACATTGAGGGCATTGTAGGTGAAGATATTACATTGAGGGCATTGTAGGAGGTAGAGGTCGCCCACAGAAACAGTATAAAGTCACATTTGCTTATCAGGAACCCGAGGACGACCGCTGGTTTACTAGGACTGAACTTCTAGAAACAGCTCCCGACGTCGTTAGAGTCTACGAAAGAGAAAAGAAAGGTAAAGGTCCTGTCTTGGACTGAATTATTCTCGGAGGACCTCGAATTTAGGCCGGCGGGAGTGAAACGGTATTTCACCTGTTAGCAGTAGCGAGTGCAGATCCCAGGGCTCGATCCCTAGTCCTTACCCTACCTGTGTACACTACCTGTGTCGACCCCGAGAGTTGAACCCGTGACCTGTGTATTCGTAACAGTTGGTAGACTGTCGTAGGGTCCGTAGGTCGTACGGGTTCGATCTGTAGACCTGTCGACTAGAGGTCTTAGTGAGTTCTAGAAGTCGTAGCTGTAGGACTTCTGAAAGGTCAAGGTCATAGCTGCTGCAGTCCTGAAGGGTCAAGGTCGTAGCTGCTACAGTGTCGAAGGGCCAAGTCCACAGACTTCCGGAAGGTCTGGAAGTGGCCCTTCACACGCTGCTCACACTAGGCCAGAAGCAAGTGGGCAAGTGGTGGAGTCCACCCGTGCTGAGTCAGCGGTACCCAGTCCCAGTCAGTCCTAGTCCAGTCAAGCAAGTACTGTATGGGACTGTGTGCACCACGGGCATGGGACAGGGGCAGACCAACGAGTTACAGAAGTATAAATCAAGAGGCAGCGCCCAGCCATTCATTCATTCCTGCGGAAGCCATGCGGAAGCGCTGCCATAGCGACTTGTGTGAGGTGGTCTGCAGCATGCCCGAAGACAAAGTGGGCGAGAAGGAGAGCTCAGCCATAGCGGCAGAGATAGTATCGGCCATAGCCGCCATAGCTGGAAGAAGGGTGTAGTGTGTGTGTGCGTGTGTGTACAGTGTATCGCGTGTGGGATATCCAGGGTGATCTTGAGTTGAGTGTGTGTGAACAGGGGAGTTGAGTACAGTGATGAACAAAGGGTTGTACAGGCGCTGATGCGCCGTAGTCATCTGAAGTGCGTGTGTATCTGGACTGTGTTCTTGGTTGCCATATCTCTGAGTTTTGAGTGGCCGCTTGTCGCCAGTTTGCTGTGCTACCTGTTTACATGGAAACACACGCACACACACACTACACCCTTCTTCCAGCTATGGCGGCTAATTGCAGGTATTTCACAAATGTGCGTGTGTGTGTGTTTGTGTGTGTGCGTGAGAGAGAGAGAGAGAGAGAGAGAGAGAGAGAGAGAGAGAGAGAGAGAGAGAGAGAGAGAGAGAGAGAGAGAGAGAGAGAGAGAGAGAGAGAGAGAGAGAGAGAGAGGGTACTTCGAAGGATAGGATGAGCAGAATCGAATGAATCTACGGCTACAACATGGAAACATAACCTGTTTTTTTTTTTGTTTTTTTTTTTTTGGTGCGCGAAAACTTAGCAACTGCCAGGGCATTTTGCAAAGTGGGGCAGCGTCCGCTAGGGGTACAATGCAAAGATGGGATCCAACTGATGGCTGGGGTGTTTCGCAAAATGTTTTGTCATCATCCTTCGCCGCTGCGGGTCACAAGGTCAAATCCCGAAAGGGTAAGAGAGGACTCGCCTCTAGAAGCAAAATCAACTTTAGTTCATACTTTTCCTGCATGAGTGAACAATTTCACATGTAGCTGATGACAAAAACCAGCCCATGAGTTCAGATTCTGAATGGCACAGGACACCCTCCTCTGCAGGTCTTCCGACCGCTTCCCCCAGTTGCATGCCACCGCCCCATAGCTACCCATGGCTACGCCTCCACTTGTTTTCATCAACACAGCAAGACAAGACAAGACAAGAAGAAAGAAAGGTAGCAGTGGTAGATGGAAGGAAACTCTGAACCTGGTGACAGACTTAGGCAGCGGCACATTGAAGACGACGGAGTTTGCAGTAGCGGTTGTAGGGAATTCAGCACGAACCTTCAGCACCAACTCAGCCTGTTATTTTGACACACCAATCACAAACGCAACGGCCACATGACGATCATCACCACACAGAAAAAAGCACTAGCAAGGAAAACAGGCCAAAACAATCAACTCAACCACTCCATCATACTTGATACCAGGCTGAAAAGCAACATCGTCCCCATCGAGGGTAAGCTAATGTTTCAGGGCAACATCGATCAACCTACCAGTCTGGATCAGGAATCAAAAGAAATCCTGTCGTCCCCATTCGGTCCGCGGATGGGAATAAACCTGGGTCTGGGTTCTCAACTGAAATGCTACACACATGTACACTATCACCAATGTCACCACCATACAGTAATAGCAGGCCGAATAGCAGGGTAAGAAGAAGAAGACGAGAGGACGACGAGAAGAGGAGGAGGAGAAGAAGAAGATAAGCGGAGAAGGAGGGGGAGAAGGACGGCCTTTTTTTTTTTTTTTTTTAACCTGTTGTGTATAACGTGACCTACCGAATGTCGACGAACTGAAAGACGAAGAAGAAGAAGAAGAAGAGGGAGAAGAAGAAGGAGAAGAAGAACAAGAAGAAGAAGATGAGGAGGAGAAAGGAAACGAGAAGAAGAAGAAGAAGAAGAAGAAGAAGAAGAAGAAGAAGAAGAAGAAGAAGAAGATGAAGAAGATGGGGAAGAAGATGGGGAAGAAATACGGCTGCAGTAGGGTATGGCAGCGGGGTGTGGCGGCAGGGTATGGCGGCAGTAGGGTATGGAGGCGGTAGGGTATGGCGGCGGTAACGTATGGCAGCACTGGTATGTCGGTACGGTATGGCGGTGGTAGGGTAAGGCGGCGGCGGGTATGGCCGTGCATTATGGCGACGGCGGTAGGGTGTGAAGAAAGGCAGGGAATGAGTAAGGAAGGACGGGAAGAAGAAGAAGAGGAGAGAAGAAGACCTAGCGAATGGAGAAGAAGAAGAAGAAGAAGAAGAAGAAGAAGAAGAAGAAGAAGAAGAAGAAGAAGAAGAAGAGAGGTGAGGAGGGGAAGAAGAAGACGATCAAGAAAGGTCGGGGAGAAAGATGAAAATGCGAGGGGGAGGAGGGTAAGAAGAAGAAGACGAGAGGACGACGAGAAGAGGAGAGGAGAAGAAGAAGATAAGTGGAGTAGGAGGGGGAGAAGGACGGCCTTTTTTTTTTTTTTTTTCACCTGTCTTGTCTCACGTGACCAGCCGAATGTCGACGAACTGAAAGAAGAAGAAGAAGAAGAAGGAGAAGGAGAAGGAGGAGAAGAAGAAGAAGAAGAAGATGAAGAAGAAGAAGAGGAGGAGAAAGAAAACGAGTGGGGGACGAGGGGAAGACGAAGAAGACGAGAGGAGGAGGAGGAGGAGAGAAGAAGAAGAAGAAGAAGAAGAAGAAGAAGAAGAAGAAGAAGTCGTTACCTGCAACAGTTACCCTAGCAGCAGGGCCTTAGTCTGCCCGTCCAACACAACCCTAAACGATCACGACAGGAAGAAGAAGTAGAAGAAGAAGAAGAAGAAGAAGAAGAAGAAGAAGAAGAACGGCGCCTTCGTCGTCGGGGTCTTCGTTGTAGCAGCAGCAGCAAGGCAGTCGGGGCCTTCGTCGTAGCAGGAGCAGCAGGACAGTCGGGCCCGTCGTCGTAGCAGCAGCAGCAGACAGTCGGCGCCTTCGTCGTAGCTGCTGCAGCAGTACTTCGCGATGGGTCGACGGGTGACGGGCGACGGCGCAGGAGGAACTTCGATCGTGCTGGAGGGGGCGAGTGGCAGACCACCCCAGCCGATCCCATGTTTGAAAGCTGGGATGTTTGGCGCCTAGATCAACCGGCTCTGTGGCCGTTGATCATGGCGGATCGATAGCCAGATAGCAGTCAGAAAGTTTTTCAAAATCCCGCAGGCCTACCGGGCTCGACGGGTCGTTTTTTCGGGCCGGTCGGACCCGGTAGGCCTGCGGGAGGCCAAAAGCAGTGAAACGGGGGTCCGAAACCCCCGAACAGGTCATTGCGCTGGGGGGGGCCCGACCCCCAACCGGGTGCCCTGCCCGGCCAGGCCACCCGGGACCTCCCCCGGGCCTCCTCCCATCAGCCGGGCGGCCTGGATCCCCACTCAGATATATATATTGTCCTCTTCTCCCTCTCTGCCTACAGTTTACCGGGCAGCTCTGTTTGACTATATATAGTCAGAGAAGATAAGAAAACGAAATATTTTTTATGTTTTCTTGTTTTCTTCTGTTTTTTTCCACCTTTGCGCTCTGATATTGTCACATATATATCATACATGCGGCGCATTGACATGCGCTGCAACGCGCACGTGCGCCGCACCGCGCATAGCACATGACGCGCGCGCATCGAATG